AGAACACGCACTTAAATGTACATATTATCACTAACTATAAATTGGAAAGACATTGTAAATCCACATTAGCTGTTTCTAACAATGCCAAGAATGCCCAGCCACATCTATTTTACATGAAATCCTCAGAAATTATTTGTATGATTTTACCATCTACTAGGAAAGTTAATTGAGAGGCTCCATGGAAATTTTGGGTGCATGTTTCTGAGAAAAGCATCATAGTGCTATTGGTTGCTGAGTTATGAGGCAGTTGGACTGGGTTTCCCTAACTGGCTAAGTTCTTTTGCTAATTCTTTCTTTAAGAATTATATTATTATTGTGTGTGCCCACACTTACACATGTGCCACAGCCTGTATGTAGGGAGGTCAAAGGACAACTTTCAGGATTCAGTTCTCTCCCTCCACCATGTGAATCCCAAGATTGAATTCAGGTTATCATGCCTGATGGCAAGCACCTTTACCCACTCACCAACCCTGCTGCTAATTCTTAACAGATTTCAAGCTTTGATAGGAAATATTCTTTTAATCTAAAAAAAAAAAAAAAAAAAAGAGGAGAGGCGAGACAGGCCAGCAAGATGGCTTAGCTGGTAAAAGCACAGCCTGAGTTCAATCACCTGATCCCACAGTGAAAGATCAGATCCAGCTCTTAAAGTTGTCTGACCTCCACATAGGCCATACCGTCACACACACACAACAGCAACAACAATAAATAAAATCTTTTTCAAAAAAAGAGGTGGTGCATGGAGGCACATGTCTCTAAGATGTAATCCCAGCACTGGGGAGGTGGAGGCACAGAGATCAGGAGTTCAATGTCATCCTTTGCTACATAGCAATTTTGGAGCCATTCTGCCATACTTGAGCCTGTCCCAAACACAGGCAGAGAGAGCTTTTTGCAGCTTGTCTCTTCTCAGTTTCCTGATCTGCCCAGATCTGAGCAAGTTGCCACATCACAGCCCTAAGCTCCTCTCACCACCATGCCTTCCCTGCCATGATGGACTGGATCCCCTTAAACCATTCGGTGATCTTTTTCTGACCCTCAGCTACTGCCTCATTTGGTGCTCACAGGGGCTCTAGGAAATCTTGAAAAATTGGATTTGGTTAGCCTTGTGAACTTCAGGCATCAGTGTCTACGTTTGTTACCTACTTTCCTGAATGGTCAAATTTCTTAGAGAAAGACAATGCTAGAACTTATATTTCCTGGAATATTAAAGATATAGATCAGAGCATTTTGTGGATGAGGTCAACAGGAATATGGGAGTAGTTAAATTTTACCAAGGCATATTTCGATAAAGAGAAAAGGGTAAATACTCTGCTGCATCCACCCACACAGAAAAAAAAGAGGGCAAGGGGTAGACTTAGAACTCTGGCCCCAAGCAGGTTTCACCATCAGTCCTTCCCTGGTCAAATGTGCATCCAGGAGATGTCTCCAGAACCTTAGTGAGTCTGGTCTTTTGGGAGCAGTATGAATTCCTCTCTCACCACTTGCTGGCTGGTTTTGAACTGTGGGAAAATGCTTCTGGACCACGAGCTTTAGATCTACCAGTAGAAAAAGACATAAAGACACATCTTGAAAAGTTGTTCTGAGGATGAATTTAGATAACACATCCAAGGGTTTCAGCCAAGTGATGGCATATAATAAATACCAAAATAAACACAATATTAAAAGGACAATAAAAGGAGGAGAGGAAGAAATCAAGCTTAGAAAAATGGAAGCTTTGTAGGCCTGAGTAGGCACACTAAGCCAACAGCTTTGGTGCACAATTTAAAGAATGAGGCTTTGGAGTAATGTGGATGAGAAGGTCAAGTGAATCTATGCACAGCCAAAAGTAAACTTTGAAACATTTGCCATTTACACCCTACCCACCTTAATCACTCTCCCCCATATTCTAGAACTATACTGTGCAATAGAGTAGCCACTAGCTTCTGTGGTTGCTGAGTATTTGGAACATGCAGAACTCAAATTGAGGTGTACCAAGGACAAAATACACACTAGATTTTGAAGATTCAGGGTAAAAAATCACAATGTAAGTTCCTAACCATTCCTATACAATTATTGGAATAAGTATAAACAGTATTTAAATATCATTACATACTTTCTGAAATGTGGCTGCTAGTTAAAATTAATGTGACTTGCATTATTTCTCCACCGGATGTAGCACTATTCTAGCATATTTGGTGCACACAGACTAAATGGAGGGTGAGTAGGTGTGTTTAGGCAATGCCACAGGTGAATTTTTAAAACTTGTTGCCCTTTGCATCCTACTCACTTCAATCACTGTCCTCCATACTCTGGAGCTGCACTGTGCAGTGTAGCAGCCACAACTACTATAGGTACACCACAGGTCACCTAGTGAGTTCAGCTATATTTCTGAGGCTTCAGGCCTGTCTTCCAAAAAACAATTACTAGGAGGTAGGTAAGAGCACCATGGTTGCCTCTACTAGCTGAGGAAACAACTGGAAATTCAGGTGGGACCTTGTTCACCCCCTTAGCCCTCATGACTCCAATCAAGTATCATGTGAACTCAGTTACAATGCATCTGAGTAGATAATTATGGTGCGTTATGTCTCCTTAGGCTTATTTAAACAGCTCCCACTGAAAAGACTGCTTCCCTGCAATGGGGACTGTTTATTTCAGTGTTTCAAATGTTGAACGAGATGATAATCTTCTCCAAGTACTCACATCAGCAGCCATTTACTTAGTCCAAACACTACTGCACCTATTACTTGGAAATGGCTTGTTTGCAATTGCCTTCGGAATGCATAGCATGTTTCTGAATATGCTTGAGTGGCAAATCTCTGTTCAGGTAAAGGTAATTCTTGAAAACCACCAAGATTCATCTGAACGGTAGCAAGTAAACTGAACAAACTGAATGGAGTTGCTTCTACTGGGGGTTCATAAAAGCCTACTTCCAGAATTTTGGAAACCACCTTTTCCCCCAGGATTGATTCCAAGACACATAAACACATGTAACCTGCTAAAAGTTTATTTTGTAGTGCCTAAGGTGTATTTGTAATGTCCGAAATTTAGTGTTCTTTAATCTTTCTCAGCAAAAATTTGTCCTTTAAAAATTTGCCTTGGTCAACTAGCCAAAACTGATTTTTCTCCCCTAAGAAATACCTCATAATCAATCTAGCCTAGGACTTAAAACAAGTGGCCATAAGCAGGATTAAGTGCACAAAGAACTTTAGAGTCAAAGTGTGAGTGGAAATTCTGTAATCTTTGTGGCCCTGGGAAAGTTAGCCAGTCTGTAGAAAGCCTGCCTCCCTTCCCGACAGCAATTGAAAAAGCCTAGCCATTCATAATATGGCTATTAGTAACCTACTGTCAAAGTCTTACTTAGGTTTAAATTTTGACAGTATTCAAAGACCTGAATAAAACTGGAGCTTGTTTTCAGTTTTAAATTTTTTCATAAAGGGGTTGGGGGGAAGCTCAGTAAAACACGATTAACAGGTAAAGGAACTTGATTTCACTCCAGCACTTTTGTAAAAAAATACCATTAATAACATTTCTAACCTTTCCAGATTTAGGTATCTAGGTATCTTGGCCCTTTTCACCGACTTTCCCTCAGAAAGATGCCACTGTTTACTGTCTAGTGTGCAAACTTCTCAGTGGTGATGTGGAGTTTTGGTTCAGTAGAATCATGCTGGGCCTGATTAAAGTCTGTAATGAAAGCTACTTAAGAGTAGGAAGAATCACAAGTTCAAGACCAGTCAGGACAACTGTTGGATAGGCATATCCTCTAAACGAACCAGGAGCAGCTGAAGGTCTGAACCCTAAGAGACTCCATAGGCAGAGGGGGAGACAGTCACTCCTCCCACCCAATTGGTCAGCTTCAATTGCATGGGGGGGGGGGCTAAGGACAGACACAAAGGAAACCCGGAAGCAGCAAGAAGTCACCATCTTACTGGGGCACTGGCAGCACATCTCAAAGTACAGCCAAGATGTAGGGAAGAGCCCACGGTGTATGCCTTTGTAAGTAACCCTTTCAGACATCATAAACTTTATACAAAAACCCAAGTAGAATGCAGTGTTGGTTTTGTCTGTCAGGCATTAGGATAGTGTGGGCCTGGGAGATAAGAGTGCTCACAGGTCTCCCAGGGGAGAATTTGGCATTACAACTTACTGAGACCCTGCCTCAAAAGAAAACACAAAAGGAGACAGGCATGGCGGTGCATGCCTTTAATCCCTCAGGAGGCAAAGACAGGTGGATCTCTGTGGGTTCAAGGCCAGCCTGGTCTACACAGTGAGTTCTAGGTAAGCTAGGGTTACAGGGAGACCATCTCAAGAAAAGACCAAACAAAAAAACACAAAAAGGACTGGGGAACAAGCTCAGTGCTGGGGTGCTTGCCTACCATGCATGAAGCCCTGGGTTCAATTCTCATTTTTTTTAAAAAAAGAATCTTAACACACTAAAATTAAAGCCCTAGAAGTAATGAAGGGCTGACTGCACCAAACCATCCCAAGGAAGTGAGTTTGGATACCAAACTCTGCACATAACCATAGGAATTAACATGCTAATAAAACTTACCACCAACTAAATGTGTACCAGGGGAAATCTTATCCACCTATCAGTGGTGTGATGATCCACTTGGAAACAGGTATCTGAGGCTTAAACGTTCTGGAGGAGGGAAACCGGATGTAGACAGACGCTGCTAGAGCACATAAGTACAGCCATTTTGTACAGGGAAGTGAAGCAAGGCAGCAGCCGGGGCAACAATAATAGCAAATATGCACCCACTTAAAATGTTACTAATCGCCTCAGGATTCTTGGAATATACTTTAATCTTTTACTTTTATCAAAGATTAAGCAATTCAACAGAACAGATAAAAACTGAGGCCAAATAACAAAGCCCAGTACCTGTTTAGGCCATCAGAATCAAGGTTGCATTGTAGTTCCACTTGATTCTAAAAACTGTCTATGCGACACTGGTTTGAAGCAACAAAACCTTGGTTAGAGCCCCCCTTTTAAAAGAAAACCCCAAGAGATGAAAAAAGCACAAATGATCACTTCATGCATTTTATTGATAGTCTATATTTTAAATCTGCAGTATGACATAGTACATAGGGAAAAAGCATCTTCCTAAAAGGTAACTATTAATAACCAAACCAGATTTAGTATGATTGACCTTTTAAGGTCTTGTTTTGCATTAAACAAGTTAAAATTTAGCAGGTGTAAAGCACTGTACAAAAAAGTTGGGTACATTCTTAAGATTTAATACAGGGCTTCCCAACCAGGAGTCTGCTGGATATACTGGAGAAAGGTGTTTAGTTCATGTTTAAATGGTAAGAAAATGAGAAACCAGATAAAGCCAGCCAACCAAATTCACTTCCCTTTGTGCTCCTTTTGCTCTTTTGAAAGTGTCTCCTAGAGGTCAGGAAGCCCTGATGTAACAATCACTTTAGTCTTTACAGAGCATACATACATGTGCTTCATGATCAAAGACTTAAAGGCAGCCCCGCTCAAATCTTTTCAGGTTCTCATGGGCTTCACAGAGCTTTCCAAGATTGCTGCCAAGTTCTTTATAGGAATCCAAGTAAACATCTATACCAAAGCAGCTCTTCCTGGGAGAAGACAGGCACAGATCCATAACCAGGCCAACTGTGCACCTCACCACATGGCCTTACATCTTTAAAAGCAGCACCAGGGAAAATGGAGCTATCAAGAGGTAAAATCCAAACATTGTACTATTCAAACACAAACCAATCTGTTAAAAGAATGTTAGTAACAGGGCACTAAACAGAGTTAAGGCTGGACAGCTGGCTCAACTATAACTTGGTATTGGAATCAATCTGCAAGACGAAGATTGAAAAGAACCTTGAAATAACAAGGCACAGTGGTATGATGGGCTTCATTTTCACTGTGTATCTCTAGATTGTTACCACCCAACCCAAGCGACTGCAAAGCAGTTGTGGAATTTTAGTAAACAAATTCTTACTGGGTGAGGTGATACACACCTGTAATATCAGCAATCGGGAGGATCATGAGTTCCAGGCCAGCCTGGGTATTGTACAATGTGAGACCCTCTCAAAATACCAATACCAAAACCCAAGTATCTCACTGTAGTTCTGAGTGTTGGTTGATATGTTTATTTTTAAGATTTGAATCCAAACATCTATACGGACATGAAAACACTCATAAAACTGATTTTTTTTTTAAAAAAAAATCCCTGGTATTAGCTCTATTCTATGCTGTAGACTTTTAGATACAAACTATGATTACTTAAAACGAGATTACGCACTTTCTGCAAGTATCAGATAATTTCAGAGTGCTGAGCCAAGTACCGTGACCTGTAATCCCAGCACTCAGGAGGCAGAGGCAGGAGTGCCACAAGATTGCGGCCAGCCTGGTCTACACAGCAAGTTCTAGGCCAGCCAGTGCTATAACGAGCAAGACCCTCTACCATGAAAAACAAAGAGTAAAAAACGTAAATCAGAATGCTGAAAAACTTAAGGGCAGGTACTGAACTCACAGCTGTTTTTGCTTAAACTCAGATTTTTAAAAATAAATACTAGTTTCTTAGACCTTGCACTTTAATTTTGCAAATAAAGCAGGTTACCTCAATGTACATTTCCAAATGTTTTCAAAGAACCATTTTCTAGTTAACTCAATTACAACACTGTTACTGAGTATTAAATGTACTGAATTACACTCAATGGAAAAAATATAATGACACCTTAACAAGTGCCCCTTAGGTTCCTAAAGCACAGAACACTTCAGAAAGTAATGATCAGTACAGTTAAGACTAGTAAGGGAAAAAAGTGCCCTGCAAACATGGCTTCTATGTACTTCATACTGGTAAAACATCTGACAAGGAAGCCAGTAAGTTAAAACTGAAAAAAATAATCAACTAAGGCAGATTACAAATTATTTTCATTCACATAAAAAGTATTTCCATCTGTAAAATAAAAATATTGACAACCACAAGGTGCCACTGTATTCTAGCAAACTGCCAGAAATGGCCTTTTAACAGGCATTTCACAAAATTGACCTCCTCCTCATCACATGGGTATTTGGGGAACTGACTGAAATTCACAGAAGCAGGTGGTTAAATACAAAGTATGCTAAATGATAACCCTTCATAAACGCAAGACACTGACAACAGGAGAGAATATTTGGCATGGAAATTAAGTTTTCCCAGGGGAAAAAAAATCCTTTGCTTGAGGTAACACAGCTAACCAGTTTCCTAGTTAAGATGAATGCTAATGATCATGCTCCTAAGGATTCTGTGTACATCCCCTGGCACTAAAGGTTTCCGTATGAATTGTACAATTACCTTCTCCAACACTAGTGTGAGCGGTTCAATTACCACCTCCATTAACACCGAGGTACAACTAACATATTCTTTACAGAGCAAATGTTCCAGATTAACACCACAGCTCTCCAAGTGTTGCTACAAACAGCCTGCAAAATTTTATCTTAACTTGTTCAATTTTATTTTCTAGTACAAATAATAGCATTGTCAGCTTTGTGGAATAAAACAGCACACTGCAAATGTTCACACTAGTAAGCAAATTAAAAAAAAATCATTCAAAATAGCCAAAGAAATTCAGGCTATAGTACTTTTCCCTATGCTTTGAACAATGTAATCTCCCAACATTGTTTATTGCTGCATGAAGCTCAAAGTTAAGTCTTAAAGAGAGAACGTCTCTGCAATAAAGAAAAAGTGCAAAGATAAAAAAAAAAATGAAATGTAAAGTCTTTTGCAAGAAAATGTTCCCTCAAGAATAGGTGTTTGGACACTGGTGAGGAAAAAATTTTTGTTCTCCGTTTAACACCTTACACCTATACAAACAACCTTGTCTTTAATGTCCACGATACTTGTAACATGTAATAATCATGGACTCTGGAAAATAAAAAAGCAATTTCCACTAGTTTTTATTTATTCTACACTAACCAATGGATCTGAGTGCTATTGAAAGAGGTGTCCACACGCACATCAAACGTGCATTCTACTGAAAGCTAAAAACAAAGTTGGATTTCCAGTGTTTATGAATAGCTTCAAAATCTACATTCATAACCAGCATCCTGCTTGAGTTACCTCGTAGTTCAATACTTCACAAATGAGTAATACATTTTGGGAGGTTAGGGAGGTATCTGTTGTCAATAACTTGGTTTTATGTTTCCAATGTGCAGCAGCTGTTTTTGAACTATGTAAAATGAACACCCCTAAATGGAACATTGTATCAAGAGGAAAATGGATTTGCTTTTAGTCAATCAGGACTACCCCGCAGATCTGAAAACCATAGATTACACCCTTAGGAGACAAGGAGGTTCACAAATATAAGAAATCCTGACTTTTACATGGGCAAATTTTAAAAGATAAAATGTATTACATAAGCGCCATAAACAGTGAAATCTGCTTAGATTAAAAAAAATAAGTGAAGCTTTGTTTGGACATTATTTCCTTGCAAGAGCAGTACATATCCTCAGTAAACAACTACTGTATTTACAATTTCCTTGATACTTAGGTAGGATTGAAAGCCAGAAGAAAACATGGAAGAATGAGCTTTGAAATAATCTTTACAGCTAAGGTGATAGATAACAGTGTGGGTAAACAGGTAATTCCTAAGCAGACTTATGTGGTAGAGTATTTGACTAAATCTGGGTAATTAGCTCATTTTGTTAAAGGCCAAGGATGGGTTCAATACCACTTCTGGCCCCTTAGCTTTTCCCAGACAAATAACTTCTCCACAGCCAGACTAATCCTAACCCCAATCAGCCTCAAAAGAGAAATTAGGCAAGAGCACTTGGGTTATGATGATCTCTTCATACTACTACTAAAAAAAAAAGTGCGTGTCCATACATAATGAATCAGCAATCTAATCTTCAAATATGGGCAGCACAGTTAAAATCTGAATTGCAAATAACCCAATATGGCTCACTTTTAATGAAAGATCAAAATGTCTTAATTCACCAACAGGTCTTTAAATCTGACATTAGATCTGTGCTAAAGATATAGTAATGAAATATTAACGTGTGCCCTAGTACCTTACATGATAAATCTCAAAAACAAGCAAATCCAAGACTTTCCTTAATACTCAATAGCACACACATCTGTACCAACTGATACCTATTTTAAAAGTGGTTTATAGTGTCTTTCATCCACTGTTTTTTGTTGGAGGAACAGACTTGTAAAAACCTCAATTTAACTTGTGCTAGGTGGTAGTGGTTTGCTTTCCTTAAACCAAAGAAAACTGCTAAATTTGCTGATCTTCTGCTTCATCTATTCAAGTAGAATACCGGGTCAAGCAGCTGTGGCTCTCACCATATGAAACCAGCTCGTCTGTACTACTGTCTTCATGAAAACCTTCATTTCTTCAAAGCAGTTTTCTTTACTCTCATCTTTCACTTCCTGCCTAAATCCAAGTTAAAATATACGATCTCCATTGGTCTTTAACGCAGTTTTATGCTGCACGGTCCTTTCCATGTCACAGTAGCTGTTCACACATACATTAAATATAGATATGTTCTGCTCTTGACATTTACAAACTTACAAAAGCAGCTTCGTACTTTGATGTCTTTGTTTTACTATGTTGGCTCAAAAAAAAGCAGTTTTCTCATTTTTAAGCATGGTAACTTTACATTTTTTAATGCATTAATACAACAGTGCATTGGAAAAGTACTGAGCCTCTACAAAATAGCTTTACATTTTTAAAAGAATGTGATTTTTTTCACTTACACAAGCATAGGCTTTTTAATATTTCCACAAGATAAATATCTCAATTAAACTATAAGCTCACTCTATTGTGTGCCACAGTGATGGGCTTAGGACAGTTATACACTTAGAAGATCCTAACTTTAGTGTTATTTACACTGACATGTCCGGTATCGCCTAGTCTGAAAGGTGGAACAAACAATATTCAGAATGTGACTGAATTTGTGTCATCTAATAACTGGGAATGGTATAGCTTTAAGTAATTACTTATGAAACACATAATGTAACTTAGTCTTGAGTAGGGATTTTCTTAATGCCTCTCTTATGGCAAACTTTAAAAAGAGGTTAACATGATACAGACCACTAGGAAAGACCTTAAGATAACAAAGGAGAAACTGACAATGTATATGGGTAAATTATCAGTAACAGAAATGTTACCAATTCACCTGCTACTGACATCAAATGTTTACGTCCTAAAACGTGGCTTTTAAAATATTTTTGTCATTCTGGAAGAGAAAACACAGGGTTCCTTCAGAAACTAATGACTCAATTCAGGTTGTTAACTTTATATTGAAGCACCACTCAAAAAGTGGATAGAAAGCAAGTGATTTCTGTTTGCCCATCACTATTCTAGCTCCATAGCTGAGAGTTCAGATCTTAATTAAACAACACTTTCTCTGTTCCCACCAAGAAGGAAAGACCGGCCTGCGACAGATAGGACAGGTAGATTTCTCAGACAACCAGCGATCAATGCAG